CTGGAGAGCAGAAAGTACTGTAAAAATTGATGTTTTATTTTAAAATAATTAAACTATATTCATACTTTTTATGTCAGGTTCAATAGGTGGAAATTTGAGATACAATACCTTTAAAAAGAGAGGAAACTGSGGGTACCACTGTCCGTTTTATTGGAAGCAGGTTAGCTGTGCAGCCTCCTATTTAGCATTCTAGATCTGTAACACCATGTGTAAACATTGTATAAGGTCTGCCCGCTTTTTTTTTTACCTCCTGAGTTTGCCCAGTCAGTATCCCTAAAGTTCTACAAGAACTTTCCATCTACTTAAAGCTACTTTTTGTTCTGTCTGTTTCTGATATTGACATATCAGGAGATCATAGCAGTATCTACTTTTGTGACCTTGATAAACTTACTTTACCAGAAATGTGTGACTAAGCTTTAGTAAGAACAAGAGTAGCTTAGATAAAGTAAGGGTAAAAAGGGGGTTGTTGCTTCTGGTCTTGTATCAGTACTGCAGTATAATATTAGAAATTAATACTAGCATAGCATTTCTGAAGTGAATCTAKTGTAGAGTTTAGACATGATGTAGCTGGAATGAGGTTAATGTTTTTAGGTAATCTGTCTGCAAAAGGTAAAATCCTTGGATTGTTTTGATGAGATGATTTTGACAAAGATTTTAGTAAGTTTGCCAAGATTTATTTTGCATTACTGCCATTACCTTAAAATGCAGGATCATAATCTGGGGGATTGTCTTGATTGATTGGCAAGATCAGACCTGTTTGGTATCAGTGATACCAAAACTTCAAATTCTAAATCAATGTCATGGTTTAGAATAAATAACAATGTTCCAGGGACATTGCAGATGTAACTAAGGTCAGTATGTGAATTCTCTGTGTTCATTCAGATATTGTTGATAAACTGATACGGAGAATAAGTGCAAACTTACTATGTGTGGAAGTGTACCATCCCTTCCCACCCATAGGAAGAGACGGCTTGCTATCTCCTATAGCAGGGAGACGGCTTGCTATCATGAACCATTTCAGTTACTAGGAGATTTATAGTTGGTCATATTTTACTTTGAATTTCAAAAAACAACGATGCTTTGCATCTATTGCGTTATTGATAAAATGCTTTTAAAATGTGTTCTCAGCTTTTCTATAACCTATGTATTTTCTGTTCAGCTGTGTCTATTAGCTTAATATTTGGATTTTTTATGACTACACTGTTAATAAGTTCTTGAAAAGAACAAATTTATGTATGAAATGTTAATCAAATTTCTGAAAAWGTGGATTGTGCCCTTTCAAAATTGTATATACCACACCCAAGCCTCAAAATTTTCTTGATTTTACACTACAAAATGACAAGAATGTAGATTAATTTTCTGWCTTCATAGAATGGTGCCTTGAGAGYGAAAAAGGCTCATAGACTTTGAGTGGGAACTCTCCTGTGGTATAATTAATATATTCTTTTTGAATACTAGCAAACCAAATGAATCTGTTTTAAAACCACCCATATTTACATAGTGTGTCCAGAGTGATTCTGGTAGAACTAAGATGAGAAAATAAACCAGTATGGTTTACATATGCTCTATSCTCAATTCCCTCAGATGGTTTTTAATAGTTACTGACCTCTTTTTCAAAAAAACTTCTAGTCAAGTTTTCGCCATCTTAAATCTACTCCCATTCTCTATTTTTTCCCTTTTGTAACTCAAAAATTTGTTGTAACAGAATAACTGTTTWTAACTCTGAGAAAGCTTCCTCTGACTGCATGTCTGTCATGACTTCTCTTTCCTGCAGCAGATTGACTGTCCAAGGCCAAACTGTCCTCCATGTATATYAGCTTGGCTTGTTACCCATATGTTCTGCAATGGTCTCGTGTTTATTTTTGCTTGAATTATTTGCATATATTCAAAACRATCAATTAGTGATTATCGCCCAAACCCACCCTGTGGCATGCTGGCACTCTGTTGTCCTCAGGAGGAAAGCAAGTCTATTCTCCTCTTCCGAGTAGCACTGGGATGCGACAATGTAGCCCAGCAAATGCAAGAGATGAGCTATTCCTGGAGTTGATCAGTTTTATGCCAAAGATGATCTAAGTTRAAACAGAAGTACAAAAATTCCATAAACAAAACCTCTGTAATAAGAAGTTAAATTCTGCTTTTGTTAAGAGGTGACTAGAGCACTTCCTTTATGTYAGGGGCCTTGTTTATAACTTGTCAGGAGACAGCAGTGCCTTCAAAAACTAAATGGATACGTGAGAATCCCAACAAGCAGTATGCTCTGAACAGCAAAGGCCTTTTCAGCTCTATCTGTAGCCAGCTGGAGGTTCTACTAAATAACTGGCCAGAATACAACAGCACTGAAGAGGAAATGTTACCCCAGAAGCATTACGTATTGTTTCATATTTTGTCCTAGTCCATTTGTTTAGCTACTGACCACGTGAGCAAAGAACACCTGTATATGAGCTTAGACTTCTCCATATTTTTTTTTCTTGTAGCATATAAATAAACCTAATGCAGAAAKTGAAGACACTTTGAAAGAGATTTTTCCCCACCTTGAAAATACTCTTGTGCCACAAACCACCATTTTTCTAGTTTCTATACTTTCATCTACAGTATTATGCAAGAGCAGAAAGAAGCTGAATTACCCTAAAATATTTAAGAAATATTTTTTTAAAAAATGACTTGGTACAGTTGCTTATAACATTTAGTTTACTGTCCTACCTTACTAGAATCTGAGGTGTTTTTAGCAACTGCAAGTTAGGAAGGTAATCATGTAACTTGTATAACTCTGGTAATTTTCTGGAGAAAGTACTGTACTTACTGAATAAAATTTGGCAATAAACCCATTGACTTGCACAGTTTCTTGTGCTGCRTGTGGAGAGCACAGCATACCAGGACCTTTTTTTTGCTAATCCAAATTTAAAGGACARATTGCTACTGTATTTTCATGTTTTGGGACGATTAAATAACTGCAATTTCATGTTGCTTGTGAGCTACAGACATTGTCAACTTTGAGTTGTCTGTTCTATTAGATTTTCTTGCAGTGTTGAGCAAAGTAATTTTTCAAAGTTACACTTAAGCATGTGCCCACGTCTCTTACTTTGTAAATGGATTTTATTAGAAGTAAATATAATCTGCTACATTAATCTCAGTCATTTTCTTTACCTATGCTTTGCTGTCATCACTATAACACTTTCCTCCTCTGGGTGTGYACTTCCATTTAATAATAGCTGATGCTTGTTCACATTTCAGAAGTCTCCCCTTTGTTCCGTATGATGTGCAAAATAAAGCAAGAACCAGTGAAATACATTAGTATTTCTTTGAAATGTACAGTCTTGCTATGGAAAATAAAAGGGTTTTATTTTCCCAAATGTAAGCACTATCACTTTTGACTCACATTTTGACCTTTTCTTATCAACTGTGTAGCAGAAAGCTTTCTAAAGCAGAGAARCAAAAGATAAGCGGATTCTTCTAGTCATAGCCAGAATCATGCTACCATCCATGCTTCAGAAATTCAGGATCTTCTCAGGTTTACCCCCAACAGTGAGATCGTTCCCTTTCACCGGTCAGGTGCATCATGGAGAACAGCTGTAGTTGATGAGTTTCAAGTCTATCTTCTGAGAAAGAACAAAAAAAAAAAAAGGCATGAAAAGTCTCACAGTGATTTTAGAAATGTCTGTACTTCAAAGCCATCGGTGACATTTTGACGATTGAATTTCATGATTTACTGTACTTAGTTCTTTGAGCAAAGGCTTTGAAACTCCAATGGCTAGTTTGTTRGCGACTGGCTAGCAGGTAATGAATATTGAACAGAAGTAATGTCCACCTGCTGCTTATGTAGGAGAATCCTCTTATTTTTCATATCTGAATGTTCTGCAGCAGAGGCAATTGGAGRGGCTTGGTGCCATATATCGTTTGTGCCATCAGACTAATGGATGGATAGCAAAACCTAGAAGTGGCGCTGTGAGAAATGGGAATGGTGCGAGAACTCAGATATAGCTGCTTGGTTTCTTCTTGCCATCAGTTTCTGTGCACGGCGTAGCAGGGGTATTTCTCACCTCCTTCTGAGGCAGTTGAAAGGCGAATTGRGAGATGCAGTGGAAGCGATTTGGGAGCTCCTGGTTTCCCACTGACTCATGGTTGTCCTTGCTGAGTCTGCTGACTGGATATGGTGAATGCGTGTTTAGGGGAAAATGCTCAGAATGCTCTGCCCTGTTAGGTAAGAGGGGAAACGAGCCCTTTTTGGAGAGTTTTTATTTTGTTTTTAATATTCATGATACTTATCCATCTTTTTTTGAAAGAAAGGTTGCACTGGAGTCTGGGAACACCAAAAAAACCCTCTGCTTCCCATAAAAACAGAAATACAGCAGGCAGTTTTTACTCCTAATGAATTCTTACGGGTACCTTAGCATAGAATGACATATTAAAAGGCAGCAACTCTCGTTGATTTTACTGCTGTATAAGCAATAGTCCTCTGTGGCCCCCACTGAGTTTGTAATTCGGTAGGAGTCAGTAACAGCTTCCTTGCATAGAGACAAGAGTCCCCATCCCCCCACAGGAGGCAATACCTGCTCTGTGGGTGAGAATTCAAGAAATTTGAAGAACATTCACGTTCAAGTATTGTCTGTGCTTCACATTCAGCATAGAAAGCTTGCCAAGGAGCTCACAACCATTCTTCCAGTCTCTTCACCACATCAAACGTTGCAATTGGAGCAATATATATATATATATGTATATATATATGTATACACATATACAATATATAGGTGGAAATATTCTGATAAGAATGCTTTTGGATTGTACAGCTTTTATCACTTGGAAAGAGGCAGCAGTTCACAGTTAAGGAACTTTAAGCTATGTAGAAGAAAACCTGCCATTTAGCCTGCTGTTATCTAGAAGAGAAATTAGACCTTTTTCAGGAAGCAAAGCTTAAGGCCAACCAGAAATCTTCTCTGTACTACTTTGCTATTGTCTCTGCTTCTGTTTCTCTAAATGTGCCTTTTTGTTTTCTACTTTGATAGAGTCTTCAGTATGTTCAAGAAATATATTTGAAAGGTGGGAAATAGTAGAAGAAGGTTTCAAACATCAAGAACTTGTACTTTCTTTGTAAAGCATCTGTAAAGTAAAAAAGGGGTATGTATGACACTTTTTTTTGCAAACTACGTTATGAAGCATTTATCTGTTGTGAGAATCTAGACAAATTCACTACCTGAGTGACAAATAACCAAGGCTTTTGGTGAAGGGGAACYCGACAAAGGTGATAGTGGAGTTTCATTCAAACTTAAGTGGTWTTAGTTTGGGTTAAGAATTGTTGTGGTATTAAAACATCTAATAACATTAAAAAGACTTGAAAGTTAAAATTAACTTAGCTGGTGCTTGTTAAACAAAATCGGTCACTGATGCTTTTCTGGGAGGGAAAGAAATGCAGTAATTCTCTAATTTGTGGTCATTGCATAAATGAGAGAGAGTTGGTATTGAGTTCATTAGTTCATAGTTTGCTAATCTCTAGAAGAAAATGACTTGTCGATGCCTGTACATGCTAAAAGTATTTTTTTAGGGATTATGGCTCTTTTCAACTTTCAGAAATAACTGCAAAATTAGAGCGCTAACAAGGTTCCCCACAATTTTAAAATACTGATTTCATTATTATACTCCTGAGATTGCAGTGTAAATTTGTTCTTGTTGATGCTCGACACGCAACAGCACCATACCCATTCTTTACAGATGGGTACTAGCAGGCTGTTGTTAGGTGTCTAACTGCTGGTTTTRCTCCATTGGTTTTATTGTGTGAGTCTTTGTTCTTTCAATTTGRAATAAACTAGAATAGTAAAAAGGATACTGAATCTAACAGTATATTGACACAAAAAGTTAGTTTTAAATATATTGCAGATATTAGTCTCTCTTCAAGAGCATCCCATAATTATTAGAAGAATTTAGTGAGGCCATGCTAAGTTTACTTAGGCTGAAAGTATCACTTAAATTCCCATTTGCTACTAAAAGTGAAGCTTTAAGGATAACTTTTCAACAACTGGACCAGATTAAGCAGATGTAAGTAATACTTCACACTGAACATCTCAACATGGTTTTAGAGGACCAGAATGAACGTTTTTACTGTGAAGGGCAGTGTATGTTAAGTGAAGGTGCCATTTATAATTTGGAATACTAAAGAAGTAAGGTTTGAAATGATTTGATTAATCCCAAAAGAAGCTGAGAATTTCTGTAATGCAAGATAAGGAAGGCCTTTTAAAATGGAAGAATTAGTGCTGCTTGTCCTGAAATAGAAAGCAATTTAAAATTTGAGGATATTTTTCAAGTAGTACTGGAGCAATTACAAATAAGATTGTTGAAATGCAATTTGTTCACTCTGTCCCTCTTGTTTCCTTTCTATAGGAACCTCAGCCACACTTCATCAAAATGCAAAGGAGCATATTACAAACAGCATCTCAGCTGGCTCATGGGACATGTTTATTTTTTTCTCCAACTAATATCTTTCAGTGCTTAAAAGAACAATCAGTCTCATCTAATGTTGGATGCAAAGCAATTTTGGCACTGAGCCCTCCTAAACGATGTCACCATGCAGGTGCAGCACTGTTTGCCTCAAAGAAACGTGCATTTTCATCTCAGCCAGCAAACACTCCTCACAAAGCCCCAGAAGAGAGAAAGGCTTTGACTTCGACTGATGATAAATCCCAGCAGAGCCCTGCAGACTCGGTTTCTTCAGACCCTGATCCATTACAAGACAAATCAATTGGTCTTTTTCAGAGATTCAAGAAAACATTTAAACAGTATGGAAAAGTCATGATTCCAGTGCATCTTTTGACCTCCACTGTGTGGTTTGGATCCTTTTACTATGCAGCCATGAAGTAAGTTGATATTGCAGTGCCTAATACTGTTGTTAAATTGAGACTCACTTTCACAGAAGAAAAAATCTGCATTATAAATTACCTTTACCTGTCAGAAGCCATCTCTGTATGTAATAGGGAAACAAGGCTATATTTTTAGTGAAAGACCAAGGTTGATATTCAAAATACCACGAACGTGACTAGATGATCTCTAGAGGTCTCTTTCAACCTCAACCATTCTGTGGTATTTGTGAGTGTCATGTAAGTGTTATTAACATGCTGTTACTGCTGCCTACTAAATTCTTTCTTAACATTAGAAGGAATACAAATCTCCTCAAAACAGACATAGGTGTAAGCAGTATGAAAGTAATTAGTAACCCGTCAYGAGGTAAAGGTAGTGGTTTCCACTCATGCTTATGAATTGCTAGGTGAGATCTGTGCAGAGCAAGGTCCGTGTGTTCTTCCTTTGCCTTTGGTGGAAAGTATCTCTGCTTCTTCCCCTCTGACCTCAGGCTGCCCCCATCACTGTTCTTTAAAATCTTGCACTTCACTCTGAGCTTTTCATTACCCATGTGGGTTTTCTTTTCCTTTTTTACTTCTCTTTCCTGAAGAAGTTACTACTGTAGGCCCCACTTTTGAATCCCAAACTAAATATTTTGGGGAAAAATGCATATAAATTGAATAGYTTTAATTCTAGGGTTTTTTTTCCAGCTCTAGTGTATGCCAGATGCCCTTTAGAAAAATGGCATTTATTAGAAGGAAGAAAAAAAAAGCTACACAGCTTATGAGCTGTTGGTTCAGATGAAAGAGCTTTTATCCATCTGCAAATAGTTTGCAAAGTAAATGTTTATCTCTGGGTTGTGGATGTTGTATATTTAATAATAGAAAGCATGAAACAATGGCAGTGTTCGGTGGCAAGTACGGGGCTTTGACATCAGAATGCCTTACCACACAAGTGTTTGTTTTAGTTACTCTGACCAGCTGGCATAATTGCCCTTTCTAGGAGCTATAGATCCAAATGTCATTCCAAATTTAGCTCATATCAGAGGAATAAAGGTCTCGAGCTATTAAAATATTTTGCTTTAGGTGAATCCAAGTTTATGCTTGTATCCAGACATTTCAGATTGAGTAGTTTATTCCTGAAATATTTCAGTTGGCTGCTAAAATATGCATTTGACAAATGAAAGCAACTGAAATATATAATTAGAAACTAATTATAACAAAGCTTCAATTTGTCATGCTAGAGGAGCAGCACCTCTTGAAGTGAAAAATAACTTTCAGAATAACTAATAATGATATGAGATTAAACCCTAGTCGTTTATTTAATAACACTGAATAATGCTGTCTTTCCAATTTTACAAGGTTTTACTTTATTTTCTGTTCTGAGGATAGACATCTAGTTCTAGATTCTGTTTAGTTTGTAGTTACTAATAAATTACTGTCCGTTGTTGTTCCTGATAATAAAGTTATCACGTACACAAAAGACTAAAATGCTTAACATATTTGAAAGATACGGATAATAAACACTTCTGAATATTATCAAGTCAGGTCTTCTGTAACTGTATGTAGCTTTCTGCTGTAATATAAAGGACTCTTTATCATTCAGTGTTCCTCTTGGTTTCCTTGGGTTTCAAGTAGGAAGAAGCTGTGACGGGAGTCCCTATGGCTGATTTTGCCTCCTTGTGTTGGCCCTGAAGTCTTGTGGATAGAGGAGTCCTTTCCTTTGCTTTGCCATATTCCTTTGGTTTGATCTATTTATAAAAAGGAATGGAAGATTCTAGGTTCTAGACTTCTGGGCRTTAGTCCAAAATTTAAAAGAGAGGGAAAAGGTCTTTTAGGTAAAACAGATCTACTTATCTCCAAACCTCCACAGTAAGCTGGGACATAACTTATACTGGCAATTGCTAAGCCCAACAGTGTTCATGTAAATGGCTCATCTCTAGGGGTAATGCTGGAAAAAATAACTTGCCTATATGACCAAGAATAAGAAGTTTGTAAGTGTATTGCTTGCCTGGAAAAACATTTTGCTATAAAATTATGAAGTTTGTATGAATATATAAGAATGTGAATGGTAATGTGAATCACTGCTCAAGCTTCCAATGMCATCCTGTTCTTTTTCTTTTTCTGTCTGATAGAGGTGTGAATGTTGTTCCATTCCTAGAATTGATTGGCTTGCCAGACAGCGTAGTAAACATCCTGAAAAATTCTCAAAGTGGAAATGCACTAACTGCGTATGCATTGTATAAGGTAGGTGTAACAAGAGCTTGCAAATAAGCTCTACATCTTGCCTAGTGAACTAAACAGGAAGCTTTTGTTTAGGTCAGAAAGCATTAATGCTGTTTTCTCCTCTTCTTAGTTACAATTTTATACTTCAGGACTCATTCTTGTTGTAAAAATAGTCCCATGCAAGTTGATATGGGCTCTCTGCAGCTTTAAAGAGCCCATCTGTACTTTTAAAATAACTGATTTGCTGCCGAATGCTTGTCTGCCATCAGAGATTCATTTTTTTCCTCTATATCCCTTACGTATCAATAGGGGTAAAGAGATAAGTATTAAATACTCTGTGCTTTTTTTCAGGTAAAGGTACAGGTAAAGGTGTGGTTTTTTTTTCTTCCCCCCCTCACCCCGAGGATTCTTTGGTTTGTCCTTCTGCCTTAATTCTTGATTATTGTTGAGGTTTTTTTGCTGTCCACTTGACTCAATTACTTGCAGTCAGGTTTGGGTATCATTTTGGCTTTACATGTGCGCAGTGTGTTCTTGGGAAACTTTAAACATTTCAGATGCTGTACAGCAAAATGAGCTATTGTCTTTGCTTCCAGTACATCCTGATTGATTTCTGAAATGAGATTTTTCTTATCTTTTACTTATAAAGATTATTTTCCCAAACTAAATGCGAAAGCTCAGTTTTTGCCAATTATTCCTGTGCCTAAAGAAACCGATATATACATGTGGTTAAAGGCCAAAAAGTTGTTATAACTGTGGGATCTGGCAATCTTGAAATTAACCTTCAACAYGGGGAATCGGCAGAAGAGGCTGCAAAGGAAAGATTGCAGGCTTTATCTTTGACGTTCTGAAAGACCTGGTTAGTCTAAACTTTCCAGAGTGATAAACCTGGTTTGCTGTGTTACGTTTAGGTAAACTMCCGAGGTCTCTTTCAACTTTGGTTTTCTATATGTGGTTCCTATTTTTGGGCCCAAAGTTAAATGCCTATATTCTTGTGAAGCCTGGAATTTAAAGCATATCCTGTTGTCAGTATTTCCTGTTTGCTTAGATGGCTTAATGTGCACAGGCTGCCTGTTCTGAATTGCGTTCCGGGACACCTAATGCTCTTCCCACAGGCTGTGCAGGGAGGTGTTTTGTTTGCTTGCTTTATTAGTTGTTTTTAAAGCAGCATAATGCCTGCATTATTTTTTCCAGAAGGCTACTTTAGATAAAAGCTATGTGTGCTGTAAATTGCTTTATTTCCTTATAAATGGAATTTTTAGTATGTGACATTGATGCTAGCCAAGATAAATTCTTAATATTAGAAATACCTTTTGCTTGGGTTTTTTTTTTTTTTTTTTAATATGGTGTTTTCTTTGGTTTCTTTAAGATTGCAACTCCTGCCAGATACACTGTGACTTTAGGAGGAACATCCATCACTGTCAAATATCTACGTAAAAGTGGCTACATGTCCACACCACCACCAGTAAAGGAATATCTGCAAGATAGGATGGAGGAAACAAAGGATAAAATTACAGAGAAAATGGAGGAAACAAAGGACAAAATCACAGAAAAGATGGAAGAAACAAAGGATAAAATTACAGGAAAGATACAGGAAACCAAAGATAAAGTTTCATTTAAAAAAATAAAGGACTAGGAAAGATGCTTAATTGTTGGATATATCAAACTTAGCACTTTAACCCTTTGAGGCAGGAGATACAAAGTGCACTTCTGAGTTCCTTTTTGTCTGGAGGCTACAGTTGCTCTGTGGATTAAAAATTCTGTACACTCACCAAGGCTTAAAGCTCCCTGGGGGAGGGTAGTTGTAACATTTTCTTTTAGAAAAGCAAAAGTGAATCTCAGAAGTTCATCTGTCCAGTGGCTAACAGTATCAACACTTCTTCCCCGTTATTTCATCAGAAAGGAAGATCTCTCTTCCGCAAGCACCTTTCTGCTCTTGCACAATTACCACTTAATGTGCAATTATTACTCTGTCAGATGAACCTTCCATTACGCAGGAAAGAAGATTTCTGTGCTGGGGAAGACGATATATTTTGATTTTCAGCGTGTGTGTAGCCAGGCCTCTTTAGCCACCGCCACCTCTCAACCCGAGGAGACAGACCRTGATCGCAGGCACCGCACCCGACGGAAGCGATGGAAGAGCGGCCGGCCTCTGAAAGGTGTTACAACTACACTGACTTCAGCTGAGCTTTGGCAGTCGACAGGTTGAGGATATGAACCTTTCCTGGAAAATGTCTTAATGTTTGAGAAATCTCTCAGCTGAAAGGGATAGGGAGTTAATCACAATAGCCATATTGTCAGGTATACTTTTTTTTTCCTAAAGCTGTTTTACAAAAGAAGGTTATGAAATAAAATCAATAATTGTATATTAAGCCAGATTTTTTTTATTATGTTAAAGCTTACAAAACTGCTCTACTTTGTCATATAGCCCTACAGCAACAGAAACACTGGAGAAGTTTACTTGGTTAACTGGTATATTATGGGGCTTTTTAAAAACTTAAAAGTTCCCCCTCCTGCTCAAGAATCCCTCAGACTTTAGAAGAACAGTTTACCTAAATAAACATAATTTCTGAGAGACAGTGATCACAGTGTAGCAGGCTGCTGCTTCTAGATGTTCTTCGGACAAGCAAATGCTTTTATTACTTTTATTCAGAGCTGAAGGTTGAAATGCTGTGTCAGAGACATAACAACTAAAGCTGAAACCGCTCTATTTGACTGAGTTCCCTCTTGTTTCTATTCAAATCTAGGCYGAGTTGAAGTTTGTTTGTTTGTTCCCTATCTCTGTTACAGACCTCACTTCATAAGAAATCTCTGCATGCTTGTTTAACGAGAGGGATGTTTGGTTGTGTGGGGGTTTTTGTTTCCTTTTGCAGGGCAATATGAGGGAGCAACAGGCTTGGACCCTAAAATAAGGTACAAGAATAGAGTTGATCAGATCTCAGCTTTGCCCCATTCCTCTGCACTCAGTGAAGTCAGTCCCTGTACAAGGGGCAGGAGATTTGTTAATTGTGCAAGATTGATTACCTGCTTGTCTGCCACTACCCATCCACGTGTCAGACAGTAACAGCAGCCTCATGCCTACCTCACAGGGATGTTGTGAGGAATAATCATTGTATGTTCTGTGCCCTGAGGATGTAAAGTGCCATGTTTATGTTGAATACTATTAAAAAATAATTCTAATTGTTGACTCTTCCATTATTGAGATGAGCACTGCAGTCAGAATGGACTTAATCAGTAGGGTTTTTTTCCTTCCTATTTTTCTGTCTTAACGTTTTTYGGAACTAATGCTCAGATACTAAAACTGCTGCCTGGTAGTCGTGCGTTGCTGCAGAGCTATTTTATCTCTGCCTGAACCTCCCGCACTGTACAAGTCTGGCCCTACTTTTAGCCTGTGCCTTGAAATAGTCACGTTAGGCTGAGCTGAACCATGAGTGGGACTGTACTGGGCTCGTAACCTACCTTCACACACAGGAAAACAGCAACTCGCATTTTCTTCCACTTGTTTTCCCTTTCTGGTGGCCAGGGCTAGTGAAGCAGAGCTTGCCTGTTTGCTGAACAAGAGGCCTGGCCTCRCTTACCTTAACACAGCCCCGAGGGGAGGACTCCTCCGATCCTGTGGATCCACCACTGTGCAAAGAGTGGGGCAGATGGGTCAGCGCAGGGTTTCCTGCCCATTTTGCTCTTCTAGCACTGTGGCTTGCTTGGCTCAGGTCACTGCAGTGTGTGAGGATATCGTGAAACACATTAAGGATTTAAAATAACAGTTTTCCGAGCTCAGTTTCCCAGTCCAAGTCACAGCATGGAGGTGAGGAGGAAGGTGAACTGCAGTGTGGATGCGGGAGCAAGCAGAGGGGTTAGGAAGCACTTAAAAGCAGTGATCGCTTGTAGTATTTTGTCCAAGCTACTGTTGCTACTGAATTCTCTATGCCGGGGAGCTGTAGCCCAGACAAGAGCTTCAGGCTTAAAAGAGCCCCAGATCTGACTGTCTGGCACTGGGGGAGCCCATCACTTGGCCTGCGGCCGCCCAGTGCGGAGCAGAGCGGCGGATCGCCTCCCTCGAGCTGCTCTGTGCCCTGCGGCCCCGGCCTCGTCCCTGAGGACGCACCGCTGGCTGCRCCAGGACGCTGCAAAGCTGCTCCCCAGCCAGGGCTTCCAGCCCAGGGCTCCGGGCTCCTCGTCACTGACCTCCACGAGGTGCCTCTGCCCCTCTCCGGCCTGTCCAGGTCCCTCCGAAGGGCAGCACAGCCCTTGGCGGCTCAGCCACCTGCCGAGGGAGCACGGGGTCCCCTTGTGCACACCACGAACCGAGCACTGGCTCTGGCGGGCGCCTGGGCCCTGCTGGGCCTCATGCTGCCGGTCACAGCCCTCCGGGCCTGACCGCTGAGCYGCCTTCGGCCGCCCTCACGGGCACCTTGTACTTCATTGTCTTGTCTGTGAGGACGCTGCGGGACGCAGTGCCGAAAGCCCTGCTGGAGTCAAGGCAAACAGCATTGACTGCTACTGATATCACCCCTATTCTCCAAGCCAGTCATCCCTGCGTACAAGGCCATCTAGTTGGTCAAACAGTCCCTGCCGGCCCCACAGCACATCCTGCTGACAACAGCAGCCCCCGCACCTTGCACCATCGACCAGCCCTCGCCCTCCCTGTGCCTCGCACGGCCTTTCTTGCCGCTCCTGCAGCTCCGAGCCCCGCTGAGCCCTGGGCAGCAGCTCCCCGCGCAGCCTCCCTCCCGGGACGGCGCTCCTGCCCCCCAAGCCTCACGGCGAGGGGAGGGCAGGCCCTGCCTGGGCAGCTGGGAGGCTCCGGCCTCCCCAGCACCAAGGTGGCAGCTGCAGAGGGACCACCCCACAGCACCACGCCGGGCTCCGCTTTCACCCTCCGCCCTCAGCCGGGCCTGCGGCTCCATGGCCAGCACAGCGGGTGCCCCAGGAAACCCCTGCCATGGTCACGCCAGGATTATCCCTGCCCCCCGGGATACACCCCCGTGGGGTGTTTCCAGGCTCGGCCTCCATGGTGTGGGCATCTGCTCCTGCCCCGGGCAGCCCTCTGCCCCCTTCCTGGCGCTCTCCAAGCCCAGGCCAAGCCTGTGGGTCTCCACACACCCGCCATGGCCTGGGAGTGGGGCTGATGGCCTTGCCAGGGCCCTCCTGTATGCCTGTGCTGCAGGTGTCACAGACCCCCGAGGGCCGCAGCAGCGAGGGGRCATCTCCCCTGGGTGCCATCTGGGGGCAACAGGTTGTCCCCTTCCTGCTGCGCCGCTYGCCAGCCCCGACAGCCACCGCCGCGCAGTCACAGCCGTGGCCCGGCGGCCGTCTGCCTGTCATGATGGAAACGGTCTCTGGAGCAGAAGGAGAACGTCTTGATTTCATGTGCCCRCAGGGCAGCGTGTCGCTTCAAGTTTGGTTTTTGTTGTTGTTTGATGAATTGATGGGAGGAGAGAGCCCAGGGGAGGCACTGCCACACACTTGGTTATGAAAAAGAAAAAAAAAAAAGAAAAAGAAACAGACCTAATTTAACAGAGGAAGGATTTCAAAAAGAAACATAATTAAAGATGGCTAACTAGTTCTGTGTTTGGCCGAGTGGCCAGGAAGAGACTAAACTACCATTTGACATGAACTGACTGCACCCAAATTCTTCAGCACTGTTCTATAAAGTTTTCTTAAAACACAGTGGGTAAAACCCGTGCTGCTCAGCAGCAAACACCGCAGTGCCCACATCCTCACGGGCTACAGCAGCCAAAGCAGCTTCATGCCATCAGCTGCAGTGGCCATGTTCATTATGATCCYTGACAACCAGGCCTCATTTTCCCAGACCTGCTTGTTTACCATGGAAAGCAGAGTCCTGCTTGGAAAAACMCAGGATAGAGCACCCTCCCTCATCCCACTCCCTGAGAAAGCAGCATGCAGTCTCTGGGAAAAAGCAGAGGGTCCTGCTGGCAAGGGCTCATTTGCAGCCTCTGGCCTTCACCATCATCTTAGAAGCCCCTCCTAAACTGTGCAGCCATCCTGCTCTGGTGAGTGCTTCATGCTGCAGTAGTTAAAGGGCTGCTTTGGTGCTGTTGGTTTGCCAACCTGCTAAGCCTAGCTCCAGTACGCACAGTGCAGCTCGCGTGCACCGTGGCTCCTGCCACAAAGCACGAGACCACAAAGAGCCAGCAAATGTTGCTGGCTCAAACATGGCAGAGCTTTTAGCGCAGCTCTGCTGGCCGACTCCATGCTGGTTCAGATGATCGGTGTCCTCATTCTTCCATCTTACATTGAATCAAGGACCTTATGTTCTCCCACGGTCGGAATAAAGGCATCAAAGTGATGTGATTTGCGCTTGAGCTACTCCGTCAAATCCATCTGAAAAGCACCTGTGATCCTGCACCTAAACTGAACCAGAACTGCACTGTCGGGTGCTCAGTGATGGAGCTGAKCGATGGCTCCTTGAGAGGACACCTGGGCAGGTGACACCGGGGCAGCCTCCGGGCAGTAACGTGGTCAGGACAGACAGCTCAGGCACTCTGCAAGCCCAAGGTGCCACTTGCCTCCCCTCTGCCCAGCGGCCTCCAGCCCACCCAGCGCTCCCTACGCAGCTGCTGGGAGGCACAAACCAGCYGCTAGCCTCTGAATACAGAGGCCGGAGCGTTACCACCTGCTRCGTTTGCATCATCTCATAGGGATATGTCTGCGTGTCCCGAAGGAGATGGAGAGGCCCTAGATGGGCGAGACCCAAGGAGCTACAGATGCCGATACAGATGCTGTGGTGGCAGCTCATACTCCACGGGCTCGGCAGCGCAACGTTGGCGGTGCCGACTGAGGGCAGAGCGCCCCAAAAAGCAGGGGTGAACATGATAGAATAGTCAGAYGCATTAGAGACGTACCACTATTGCAAAGGGAGACACCGTCAAGACTTTCAGTGAAGGGGGGAATCACTCAGCACCRGTGGTTAATGCCTTGGTTCATCACAGAGACCTGGGCTTAACTTTTATCATGGATTAGAGCAGAAAAGTGAAGACACTACAGCATAGTTTTATATAAGGAATACTTTAGGTTCTGCATAATGTCAATAATTGCATATTTTACATTGCAGACRTGTCGTGCAGTAGTCTCCTATGTAAGCAATTTGCATATGATCTGCATAGCATGTCCCTGCACACAGTCTACTCTAAAAAAGAAAGCTGTCAATGCACAAGCAGCGC